GAGTTCCAGGACAGGCTCCAAAGCAATACAGAGAAACCCTGTCTCAAAAAAAAAAACATAAATAAATAAATAAACAAAAAATAATAAATATATCATAAATAATAAATAAATAAATAATAGAGATATTCCAGCAGATATTCTGTCCTACCCTGAGGAGTCTAAGTCTAAATGCCTTGGCTAAGATATCAGAGGATAGTAGCTGAGACTGTCTAGTCTTCAACCACATCAAAGACCCAAGAAGCAAAATAATATTACCTGAGTAAGCAGGAAGTATAATCAAGCAACTTCCCAAAGGTGCAAGAAATGACAGAAATAACTGACTACTTGCACAGTCACCCAGAAATGGGGCATCCAACCTTGGCTAAGGCCCAGAATATCTGACAGATGATTTTCAGAAGCAGGAAGATTCAAAAGACTGCCCTACCCTGTCTTGGCAAGGCTCAGCAGTCTCTCTTTGCTTATATCCTGCTTGTCCAGTTAGGACAGTGTGTCTACTGTCAGCAGTTGAGGCAAGGGTAGTTCTTTACCATTTTTGCTATGAAGAAAACAAACTCCAAATGGAGTGTCTCTGGTGCCCATCATATTCTCAGGAATGTCATGCCTCCAAGAGCAATTGTGTCTCATGAATGGAATAGATTATTGTAATAAAGTCCATGAAAGCCCGGATAAAGGGAAGTCATTTATGTATTTGGGAATCATTCAGGAATAACAAAATAAGGTAGAGAACCGCTGAGGTCTTCTGCCCAGAGCCTGGGAAGCTGCAACCCAATCTGCTGCCACCACCCAAGAATGCAGGCTCCCAGTTCCACGCATAGCACCCAAGACTCTTCCCTGAAGGGGCTGGTACCTCAAAGACTATTGGCTGAATGAGTTCCACAACAGCTCTAACAGTATTTTTTTTTTTTAATGAGATTTGATTTAGGGCTGAGCATGTGGCCTCAGCAGAGTGCTTGCCCAAGCCTGTGTGGAGGCACTTGGTTAGATCCTCAGCATGGGTAGAGGTGGCGCTACTAAATACTTCCCGTAAACAAGCTTGTTACAGCTGTTTCTGTGCAAAAGAGAAGCAGCCATTTCATCAGCTTGATGGCTCTATGTTCCTGAACTTCTGAGCTTTAACCAGAAGACAGCTCGAGCCCCCAACACAGTTTATTCACTCTTTTGGGGGAGCCCTGAGCAGGAGGGAGATGGAGACGGAGGGAGAGTTGGTTTGTTTTGTAAGGTATGATCTCATGTAGTCCAGGTTGGCCTCAATTGCTAAATAAATGAGGATGCCCATAAACTTCTGATCTTTATGTGCCACAGCACCTGTTTTATATGTGAAACCCAGGGCCTTGTCCATGCTAAGAAAGCTCTGCCCCAAGTGCTCTGGGCTACTATGTCCCCAGCCCATTTCTACCTTTTATGACAAAGATAATGACGATATGGTGGACTTTGGTAATTGGGATGAAAAGTGGCTTTTTTGGGTTAAGCTTGTAAGCCCATCTGTTTGCTAAGTGCTCTAAGTCTTACTCATTTGATGAGTTTCCCTTTGCTAAGTTGCAAACAGCCTACATGGAAAGTAACCTGAACTCCCCATGGCCAGTGCCCAGCAGGTTCTTCATCACCATCTCTGTGTGAGAGCATTGGCATCTATGCTAGAAAACCCCCAGCTCTGCAGCCAGGCTTGCTGCCTTCATGCCATTTTTGGAAATCCACTGATATCAGCTGCTGACCAGGGTCCATTTGTAAAATGTTTGAGATGATGAGACAGGAAGAAGTAGAGTGTCAGCTCAGGGAATATATCCATTGTCCATCAGATTACTTAGAAAGCTCTCCATTTACACTCACTGTGTCATCCTATATAAAAATCACTTTTTTTTTTTAGAGTAGTTGTTTCTGTTGATTTCTGAATCTTTTCCATGGTTCTGCAGATTCAGATTTGGGTGTGAGCCTCATCTCCTTTTCTCCTGCCCAGATCCAGGTTTAGTGAGATCTGCTCTACCCTCGAAATACACTGGATGCTAATTCTTTCTCTCCACTTCTACACCCAACACTGTAGTGTAAAAGATGACTTCTCTTCCATGGGTCATTAAAGTAGATCCTTACTGTTGTCCATTCTTGACCTAGTACATGCTCCACCCAGTCAGGTCCATCATATGTGTGTCTCATATCTCTGAGCGCTTGTCCCTGTGGCCTCTCATCCTCCATTTCTCTCTTCAGCACGGTGCCTCAGGCTTTAAGGAGTGATGGAAGTTCTCAGGACTAGCGCCCTGGATTGTGACTCCACATCCTGTTAGCTGAGATTCTCTTGGTGGGAAGAGCAGGGGTCATGTCAGAGTTGATGAGGCCATGTATGGAGGTTAGTTGTCATCACCTGAATGGACTGGATGGCGTGGCTCTATCTACTTCCTCAGTGGTCTCTTTGACCACTCATTTAGTGTCCTTGGCTTGCCAGAGAGAATGCTGCCTCCCAGACCCTGTGCTCTCAAAATTCCCACCCCCTAGGCAACTCTTCCCCTATATAACACGATGTCAAGTTCAACTATTACCTCATTAGGAAAACTGTCCGTGAGCAGGTAGAGTTAATCACATCATTTATTAAGACTTTTTTTTTTTCTTTTGGTTTTTCGAGACAGGGTTTCTCTGTATTGCTTGGGAGGTTGTCCTGGAATTTGCTGTGTACACCAGGCTGGCCTTGAACTCACAAAGATTCACCTGCCTCTGCCTCCCGAGTGCTGGTATTAAAGACGTGTGCCACCAATGCCCAGCTAATTACATCAGTTTTTAAGTTGCTGCATAACACTCTTCGTTAGCTCATAGCTCTAGAGCTGGGAAGTCTGGCCCAGCATGGTTATGTTCTCTGTTCAGGTATCACAAGGCTGAAATCATTGTGTTGGCCTACCAAGTTCACTCAGAAGCTCCTGGGGAAATCCTCAGACCTTATTCCTGGTTGCAGGCCAGTCCTTGCTGTTACAGTAAAACTAGAGTCATCATCTCCTCACTGCTTATCAGTGTGTCTGACCACATTTTCCATGCGCCATGTCCACCTTCTGGGGGACAAAAATTAAAACTCTCTGAAGACCTCAAGTAATACTTACTGAAAAAAAAATGTATAATTTTTACATGGCCAGCTTGGAACTCATTATGTAACACAAACTGGCCTTGAACTTGCAATCCTGCCTCAGCTTCCTAAGTACTGGATTTGTGTGCACTACCACTTCCCATTTAGTAATCTAAGGTCAGCTGATTGTACATAACAGCACCTACAATAGGATTTGATCTAAAGGAAGGTAAGTGTATAATTCTTTTTTAAGACCGGGTCTGGCTATGTGGACCTGACTGGCCCAGAACTTTCTATGTAGTCAGGTTGGTCTCAAACTCATAGAGATATACAAAGTGTGCACCCCCTGTAATGGGAATCTTCACGGAACCATCTTAGTTTTTGCCTGCCATGATAACACACTCCCCTTCTTGTTCTTTTTTATGCTTTTATTTTTACATTGATTTACTGTGTATGTGTACACAGGCACACACAGTCATTCATTCCACAGAGTGTGTGTGGAGGTGAGGACAGCTGTAGTAGTTGGTTCTCTCCTTCCACCATGTGGGTTCCGGGATCAACTCAGGTCATCAGGCTTGGTAGCAAGTACCTTTACCCGCTAAGCCATTTCTCCAGCCCTTATATAATCCAAAAATTATTCTATTCTGCTTTTCTTTTTTTCTCTCCACTTTTTATTTAAATTAGAAACAAGATTATTTTACGTGTCAATCCCAATTCCCTCTGCCTCCCCTCCTCCCATTCCCTCCCCCCACTAACAACCTACCTATCCCATACTTTTTCTGCTCCCCAGGGAGGGTGAGGCCTTCCATGGGGGGGGGGGGCTTCAGAGTCTGCTGGGTCCTTTGGAATAGGGCCTAGGGCCACCCCCTTGTGTCTAGGCTCAGAGAGTATTCCTCTATGTGGAATGGGCTCCCAAAGTCTACACCTATGCTAGGGATAAGTACTGATCTACTACAGAAGGCCCCGTGGATTTCCAAGGCCTCCTCACTGACACCCACATTCATGGGGTCTGGATCAGTCCCATGCTGGTTTCACCAGCCTGGTCTTGACCCCTTTGCTCATCACTCCTCCTTCTCTGCAAGTACTCTTTCTTCTCTGCTTTTCTTGGCAGCACTACTTACATCCTAAGTGATATGTGCCTATTAAACTGGAATATATGTGCCTGATGATTCTCTGCTGGTTCTGTTCATTGTTACATTCTCAGCACCTAGAACAGGGTTAGATACAGTGTAGATATTCAGTAAATACTTATTAAATGACTTTGTTATTAAAAATTATAGCATTTGGCGAGGCAGTAATGGTGCACGCCTTTAATCCCAGCACTCAGGAGGCAGAGGTAGGCAGATCTCTGTGAGTTACAGGTTAGCCTGGTCTATAAAGTGAAATCCAGGACAGTCAGGACTGATACACAGAGAAACCATGTCTCAAAAAACAAAGAAAAAACACCTATAGCATTTAATTTTTTGATAACCATGAACATGATATTTTGGAAAGAAAAGGTTAACGTGAGCATAGGAGTTATTAGGCTTTATCTGCAAAGATACTATGGGAACTGTAAATATTCGCTGGTCTTTCTTTGCATGGAAGACTTCTTATTTGACTATTAAAAAGTAAGTGTGAAGAAGTAATTATCTAAATGTCCGGTAACGGCTACATACAAGAAAGGGCAAATTACCTTTTTTGCTTGCTATTAATAATTATGTACTTCTGGCCATAGATTAAGAATGTCTATGAACTTTTAGAAATGGTCTTCTCAGAGTATACCTGCTTTGCCACCTTACTCTGGTATTTATAAGTCTCCCACATAATTATGATGCACAATACTCAATTACTGTAGATCTAACAAGAATAACTCACTTGTAAAGATACAACGTAGCATACCAGACCAGAAAATTAGACTATTGCCCTCATTTTCGATGCTTACTGTTACATGTTTCTTTTAATCCCTCCCTTCCTATAGACAAAACTTGCCAATGGCACTTCCAGTATGATTGTGCCCAAGCAGCGGAAACTCTCAGCGAGCTATGAGAAGGAAAAGGAACTGTGTGTCAAGTATTTTGAGCAGTGGTCAGAGTCTGATCAAGTGGAATTTGTAGAACACCTTATATCCCAAATGTGTCATTACCAGCATGGGCACATCAACTCCTATCTAAAGCCTATGCTGCAAAGGGATTTCATAACTGCTCTGCCAGGTATGTGTGCATTTCCTTGTAAAGTCTTAGTTAATGTGCTACAGCAGTAATGGAACTGGATCTTCAGCCTTACCCCACTCCCCTTTTACCCCAAGCTAGCCTCAAATTCACTGTGTAGCCAAGATATGCCCCAAACTCACAGCAGTCCTTCTGCCTTGGCATTGAAAGTTCTGGGATCACAAGTGTAACACTCCTGGCCACATTTCTCTTTATAAAGTTTTATTTGATTTGGTTTGATAAAATTACACCTTCTTCATCTAATACAAGAAAAACCACTGAGTATGGTGGCACACGCCTTTAATCCCAGCACTCAGGAGGCAGAGGCGGGGGGATCTCTGTGAGTTCGAGGGCAGCCTGGTCTACAAATCGAGTTTGAGGACAGCTAGGGCTTTTACACAGAGAAACCCTGTCTCAAAAAAAAAAAAAAGAAAGAAAGAAAGAAAAGAAAAGAAAAAGGAGAGCAAGGAGAGAGGGAAAAAGAAAAACCAAAGTATAAAAATTAAATTCCATTTTACTTTGTCTCCTTGTCTCATGTCCTTCTGTTCAGCCTTTTTAAAATTTATTTAACCTATATGCAGTTCCAAATCTGGTTTTGTTTTGTTTTCCCTTTACCTGATTTGAGGTATGACTTTTATAATGTGTTTTATTTTCAATTTCTTTCCTGTACTTAGATTTGAATTTATGGGAATTTTAGCAACAAAAAAATGTATGTTTGTTTGAGACAGAGTATCTCTACCTAGTTCATACTGGCTAAAAAGCCACAATCCTCCTGCATCAGCTTCTATTACAACCTATAGAATACCTAAATTATAGGAAATTTTTTTAATTTTTAGGGTTTTTTGTTTGGTTGGTTGTTTGGTTGGTTTTTTTGGTTTTTCAAAAGAAACAGGTTTCTCTGTATTGTTTTGGAGTTTGTTCTGGAACTCGCTCCGTGAACCAGGCTGGCCTCGAACTCACAAAGATCTGCCTGCCTCTGCCTCCCAAGTGCTGGGATTAAAGGTGTGCGCCACCACTGCCTGTTGAGTTTCTCAGATCTTAACTGTTTTGAAGCTGCCTAGAAGAACTTTAAAGCCCTAAAATTGAGACCGAAAGTGTAAAGATTTGAAGCAGTTTAAACACCAGCAGCTTCCATCTGTTTTGTGTCTCCACCGGCATGCCAGTTTCTCTCTGAGAGGCAGGTTTAGAAGTGAAAAGTGAGCCAGCAGAAGGCAGTCAGAGGCGGTGAGCTCGGAGGACTGTTGTATGTGGGCTGGCAGAAAACCCATTCCCTGTCATCATCCATGCTCACAGGTGAAGGCTTGACTTTCAGGTGATCTCTAGTCCTCAGTCTCTCCTCTCAGACTGTGTTATACTGGACTTTTTTCAGGTATGGGTAACAAAACCCTTAGCAACTCAAAGAAGCTCCTATACAAAGAACGTTAGCTCAGAAAAATGCTGGGCTGTGCACTCACCTCCCCTTAGGGATCTCTGTCTTGTGAGTCACCCTGCTCTGCACACACACTACATTTGCTGGTATTAAAGGTGTGCACCACCAACGCCCGGTAGTATTTTTGAAAGAATTATATATCAATTCTTTGATGTGTGTCTCACACACATGAGAAAGAGAAACACACACACACACACACACACACACACACACACACACACACAGAGGGAAAGGGAGGGAGGAAGGGAGGGAGGGAGTGTTGAGAGGATGCTATAGGTTTTCTGCAGATCAACCAGGGCAGACATTACTACTGACCTATATCCCCAATTAGGATGGGAGGAAGTATTGATACAAGCTAGGCAAGTACTCTGTCACTAAGTAACATCTCCAGAGTGCCACACCCCCATCTTGAATGATGATCTAGAACACTGTAAAAATGGGAAATAGGACGTTCTTATATGGGCTACACATTTATCAAGGAAGTAGTATACAGTCAATGTTAACAAAACTGCTGGTTTTGTTTGGGCTGTTTTCTATTTTGGCTGCTTTTGATGGCTATGAAATTCAGAAAATCCCCCCACCCCACCCCACCCCACCCCAAAAAAGATAGACTGGAAAGATAGCTCAGCCAGTAAAGCCTTTGCCATGTAAGCATGAGGACATGGGTTTGATCCTCAGCACCTACATAAGAAAGCTGGGAGAGAGTTCCCAGCTCAGCTCTGGGGAGGCAGATGTAGGTAGATCCCCTGGGGCTCACTGGCCTCCATGCACACATATATGAACATACACAAACACACACACATACACACACACACACATACACACACATACATACACACACACACACACACACATACATACACACACACACACACACACATACATACACACACACACACACACACATACATACACACACACACACACACACATACATACACACACACACACACACACATACATACACACACACACACACACACATACATACACACACACACACACACACATACATACACACACACACACACACACATACATACACACACACACACACACACATACATACACACACACACACACACACATACATACACACACACACACACACACATACATACACACACACACACACACACATACATACACACACACACACACACACATACATACACACACACACACACACACATACACACACATACACCCACCCATACACGCACACACACATACACACACACATACACACATATACACACACATACACGCACACACACATACACACACACACACACATACACACACACACATACACACACACATGTACACACACACATGTACACACACACACACATACACACACACACACACACACACACAAAGTAAAAAATATAATTGCCCAGAACTCTACCACATATATTTTTATAAAGTTCTGATCATGTGTTTATTTCCCTATATATAAACACTCAAAGCAGAATTCTATACTAAAGAACAGGAGGTGTTTCAGTGTAGTTTGATTTCTTGTTTGTTGTTTGTTTGTTTGTTTGGGTTGGGTTTTTGTTTGGGTTGTTGGTGCTTGTCTTATGGGTGTGTTGGAAATTGAACCCAGTGCCTCACACTTGCCAGCACACGCTGCTCCACTAACCTTCACCCACTGCCTTGGAGCTTGGGCTTTTTGAAGCTTCCTCCTCCTCCTTTTGAGGCAAAGTCTTACTGTGTAACTCAGACTGACCTTGACCTTTGACCTTTCCTCCTACCCAGTCCTCCTGGGATTACAGTTGTGCACCTCCACCACAGCTTCATCTGTAAAAGGCTTTGGTACATGCTGGCAAGCTCTCCTGTAAGAATAATGTGCTATTTGGTAGCCTTCTCAGGACTACATACTTTGCTTACTTAATCCTTGCCAGCTGTTTCTTAAAATTTTGTTTTTCTAAACTTAATTGCCTTTTAAAATTAAAGAAATGCTTATTTGTATATTACAAATAACCACTTGAAAACAAATTGTACTTTTATCTTTTGCTAAATAGAATAGATGTTTGTCCCCTTATAATATCTGGATTTTTCTCTCTAGCCATAGGCAAGCAGTTTATCTTTGTACAATCTGAGTGTACCTATTTCTGTGTCCTTCCCAATCATTGAGACATGCTACGGTCTTGAGCTTAGACACTACGAATTGAACCAGAGTCGATTGGACCGTGTATTATACCTAATACCGATCTCTTGTGTGTATCAGCTGACCAGGCTGTCTGGTATTAAATCACGTCCAATGGTTAACAGCCATTTAAATTTCTAAACCTACACCAACTGGCTGCATTTAGTAAACCAAACTACTTCAAAAATTGCCTATAATCCATTAATGTAATGGTTTTGTTTGGAGTGTTAGGTGGAATTACTTCCAGCAACTTACTACTGGTACATTGTAAAAGATCAGGAGCAATTTGACAGCAGCCATTAAAAATGTACGAGTGCCTTTTGGAAACTTCTGATGTTGTGCAAAATTTGAATATAAAGATCCATGAAACAGGGGGCTGGAGAGATGGCTCAGAGGTTAAGAGGACTGAGTGCTCTTCCAAAGCTCCTGAGTTCAATTCCCGCCAACCACACGATGGCTCACAACCTCCTTGAATGAGATCTGGTGCCCTCTTCTGGCATGCAGGGCACATGCAGGCAGAAGACTGTATATACTTAATAAATAAAAATCTTTAAAAAAAAAAATCCACAAAACATACCATCATTGTATTTTGTATGAAAAACTGTTTGTTATGTCTTTAATTGGCTTATAGTCATATTCCTTTAATAAGAATTAGGTGATGGATGCCTCCATCTGCTTATGCTTAAATATGAGCATGTGATACCAGGCAAACAAGATCCATTTAAAGCTTTCTTTCCCAAGTCTGCTGGAAAATGTGACAGATAGCCATATAATTTTTATAATTAGAATAATGTTTAATAAGCATATTTGGATTGTTGCTAATGGCATCCAAGTGTGTCTCCATATGATTCAGGGGAAACACGCATGCATGTCGTCGGTCCTTTTCAGTTCATGCCTGTAGAAAACAGACTGTATGACTCCTTCCCACATTTTGAGCCTTCAGAAAATCTCAAAAATTAATAATTTTGAATGTTTTTGTCTGACCTGTAAACAGCAATGACAAGGAATGTTACTAGGGTGGTCAACCTGTTTGAAGGCTCTTTGCCACTGACACTTCGATACATATTTGGGTGGCAGAGAGCTTTAATTGGGGAGCATTAATTTCCATCACTCATGATCAACTTGCCATGATTTCCTCTGAATGATACCCAAGTTATCAATTGGCAAGATTTTTTTTTTTCATTTTTGGTCGTCACTTAGGTTTTACAGCAGTAAAATGGTTTGGGTTGTTTTTTTTTAACATGTGCAGTGGAGCTCATCTCTGAACTTTAATATCCCTGTGTGTCCTCTCAGGATGCTCCTGTAGCCATGTCTACTTCGCTCCTGTCTGCACGCCCACATTCCCTGCCCCAGCACAGTCTGGTGTGCTGCCTCTCCCCCAGTACAGTTAAGGGTATTTCTTTCATTGGATAGCTTTGGAACTGCAGCAGTAATAGAAGCAGAATGAGAAATGGACCTAATATCAAGATTTCGGGGGGGTCTGAATCACAGAGTTTGAGATGCCATCCATAGAACATCCCCTAGTGTTGAAATCCATATAGATAGATGGGAACTGTTTTCTGGACTCCTTTTTATTTTTAATGTCTTGGGGGTTTGCTGGTTGTTAGCTTTAACTTTCTTATCTAACAGAAGATGGAAAATACTGTTCATTTCTGTAACCTTATGGAAAAATTATTGACACTCATTTTACCCAAGTCTCTGCTTGAGAAAGAAACTGGACCACACTAGGGACAGTGGCATGCCTTCATCACACAGCGTGTGCTGCTCTTTTAAAGGGCTTTCTGTGAAAAATTGCTCAGCATCCCCTCTGTCTTTTTCTGTGCTTCCTCCCTCCCCTCACCAAAGCACGGGGTCTGGACCATATTGCTGAGAACATTCTGTCGTACTTGGACGCCAAATCACTGTGTGCTGCTGAGCTTGTGTGCAAGGAGTGGTACCGTGTGACGTCGGATGGCATGCTATGGAAGAAGCTCATCGAGAGAATGGTCAGGACAGACTCTCTGTGGAGAGGCCTGGCAGAGCGCAGAGGGTGGTGAGCCTTTACCCTTCCTTCCTCCTCCCACAGCACTCCCGCTCGGGGCACTGCACACTGCTGAGTGTCGGGAGCCAGGGAAGGCGCTTAGCATCATTTATGGTTATTGTGCCGATTTCTAACTGAAAATATAAGAGAATTGTTGTTCGTGTACTCAATAGTTCGTCTCTGACTAGGCAATCATTATGACACATTTTGTTAATACTGCTTTACAAAAGAACACTGACCACCTCCTCATTTAAAGTATTCTGCTCTTTGGACAGAAAATGGGACTCTACAAAAAAGGGGCAATTTGTAAGGCAGGTAGGACAGCTTTGAGTCAGGTAGAAAGTACCCATTCCTGCTTCCTCCTGGGGAAAATGGAATTGCTCGCCTTCCGTAGGCATCCTGTATTTAGTCCCCACTACCAGTGTCTCATTACCTTTATAATCCAAAATTAATTTTTATGCCCAGGTAAAATAAAACTATAGCTACCAGAAAGAATGAAAATGGAATTTAGTATAAATCATTGTTTCTTCTTAAAACGTGTATGTTTCTTTAGATTTGCATGTTTAGTTATAAATCCCCCAAGGCCTTATGTCGTCAGCAGCCTTAATGACTTCACCAGTGCTGTTCTCTATGTCATTAAAACTTCTTAAAGAGATTTCTCTTCTTAGAATTTTGCCTCAGGATGTGTCCCTAGAATGCACTATGAGAGAGTCAGGTATGAATAATTCGTTAAGTTATTTTTTAAATATATTTGACTAAAAAAATATATAATTGGCATGTGTATTGCCTTCAAAATTAACTTTTGGGGGGAGGTGTCTGTTTTTGTCTGTAGGCATACACAACCTCAAATAGTTAAGATTTCCAAAGGAAAGCTGGGTGTGGTAGTGCGCGCCTGCCTTTCCAAGCAGAAGGAAGGAGGCTGACAAGTGTGAAGCCGTCTTAGCTCTGCAGCATGACCTACCCGACCTATCTGGCAGGGACTGCAGGTTCTCTCTTTGCATATGCAAGGCTCTGGGATCAGTCTCAGCACTCAAACAGAAAACAGAAAAACCTTCATTTAGCTGCATGGGCGTGTTGTCCATACCTGTAATCCCAGCAAGTAAGCAAGTTGAGGCAGGAAAAGAGAGAGATAAATATCAACCTTCCTTAGAATTTTCATAAAATTGTGCTTGGCTCTCTTGTTTTTGTATCCTTGAAATTCATGGGTTCATGAATATGTTGACCCCTGGGTGTTATGGTAAGTGCATCAAGGTTTCTGTCATTTGAGCTATTAGGAAGACTTAAAACCTTTACTCTTAAATCCCAGGCCAAGGATCCAAATGCTAGCAGTCTTCTTGCTATATGACTATAAACCAAGGCTTATTGTTATTTTTTCCTATTGTTTTCCTTTCAGATGTTTTTCCTATCCTCCCTTAGTATGTAGGAAAGGAGAAATTGCCTTTGCTTACTGATGTCATACTCTGTTCGTTCACATGTATGGTACTCAGAGTCCATAGTTTTGATGAGTCCAAGACTAGCTTTAGAAATGAGCACACAGTCTTACTTGTGGAAATTTTGGGATGTCTGAGAAGATTTCTCTATCCCTCAGGAAAGCAAAGGAACTCTCTTCCAGATTATTCATGCCTTAACATATTGGTTTTAAAAACTCACTTCTTAGCCAAAAAGACTTCATGCCCTGTTAAAATACATGTGTTTCCATTTGTTCTGTAAATGACAGTGACTTTCCTCATAACCAGCAATGTGATTTGAAGACAAGGAGAACAAGAAGTGGGGCTTTGGAGATGTGTACATCTATAAATGCAGACACGAAAGCATACCTTCTGCTTAGGTTTGGTCCTTTTACGTTAGTTATAATGACAATAACAAAAACCATCATTGAAAAGATAGGTTTTGTGCCTTTTATTTTTTATTAAATAATTTTTGTGGTGCCTGAAATCAAACTGAGGGTCTTGACCACGTTAGACAAGTATTCTACCCCTAAGTTAAATCCCAGTCCACTTTTTGGCCTTTCAGAAGGGTCCTTGAAGATATGGCTGAGATGCCTTCATTCAGTTAGCGCCACTGTTTCCATCTCTTCAATCTCAGAAACGCCTCCCACTCTTTGCAAGTCATTCAGCTTTATGACCAGAAGCCCTTGTCTTTGATCACACTGATATAATTTGATATAACTTGTTACAGCCCCATGAAGTAGTAAATACAAATACTTGTGTGCTCTGTGAATGTCTGTTGAGTGGCTTTGGGTGACACTTGTGTCTCTTTTTATTTATTGCCTTTGTGTTTGGGTGGCCGTGGTGTTGAGAACAGGGCCTTGCTACATAGCCCAGCTTGCTCTCAAGCCTCCAGCCTCAGCCTTCTGAGTGCTGGAATTACAGGAATGTGCTAAATTCTCCCTTCAGAAGAAATAATTTCTGATCAATTTCTCATTTCTTTCCTTCCTTTCTTTCCTTTTTTAAAAATAGGATCTTTCTATGTAGCTCTGGCTGTCCTGGAACTCCCTCTGTAGATCAGGCTGGTCTCAAACTCACGAAGACCCTCTTGCCTCTGCCTCCTGAGTGCTGGGGTCAAAGGCATCCGATCCATCACTACACCCAGCTCATTATCAGTTTTTGAAGTTATCCTTACTAAACCCTCTGTGTTAAAGCCTTTCTGTGTTGTTCCTTTTCCCATACAAGTGTCATTAAAAGTAACTTCAATTTCTTCTTTTCAAAAGTATACAAGTAAATACGATCTTCCTGGAATGATTGAGTCACCAAGATTTAACTTCCACGTTGCTGTTATATTTCATACCTAGATAGATTTGACAGTTTGCCCCTAGGACATGAACTTTGCAGTTTTCTCTCTTAAATAACACTAGATAATGTTCTCTACTCAGTAATGGTAACTCTTTAAAGTATGATAAAGGGCCACTTGGGAAAAGTGCATTTTCTTAATCAGGAGATCACATTTTATGATAACATTCTGGATTTAATATTTCACATTTGTCAAGCACTCACATCCTTACAGGTACCAGGCGTTTTGCCTAGAAGTGGTCCCTGTTGTCAAGGAACATACGCCATAAAAGATTTTGACTTAAAACAGATACAGACTAGGAAGCCAGTTCTCAGTATATACCACTCCTTTGTAGCATCTTTGATGGAGGAATTAGTATGCATTTGTAAGGCATGGTGAAGATGGAGGGATAGAAAATGAGATTAGAAATTCATTTGAATCCTATTTCCCGAGGATATAGAGACAATATCATTGAATGTGAAGGAAACCCTGGAATACCTTATAGGAATGCCAAAGACTCGAAGGAAGACAAGCATCTCTGGAGTGGTGGGCACTGAAAACAATAGTTAAAAATCTCATCTGCATGCAAAATGTTTACATAACCAAACTGTTCAGACAAGGATGCTGTTAATTCAGAATTATTTCTCAAAGTAGCTTACTTACCCTTTATGTTGGCATGTCCAATTTCACAGTCCTCTTTTAAAAAGAATGTTCTTCTCCATTGCAGATTTCCCTTTCTGCATTACCTTAGTCAGCAGACCCAGCTGCCTTCCTGATAGGAGATTTTCTCAACTAATTTTCAGGGTGTACAATAGGGAGGGGGCAGGGGAGAAGCTCTCCTGAAGACATGGAACAATTAATTATATTGTAATGGTGCTATGGAGGCACAAGTGGATGACTGGCCCAGAGAAAACATGATTTCTCTGGTGCCAGGATTACACTCAGAGGCATTTCTGCCTATCTCCACTTTGCAAGGCACGGTGCCAGTGAGAACAGCAGTTAGTACACCCATAGTGGGCTTTACTAGCTTCCACACCGTGTTTGGTGGGTTCTTAACTTCAGGATAAGGAATTAAATTTTTTACCCAGCTGGAAGTGATTGCCATTTACCTTTTTTGGGGGGTGGGAGGGAGGGGAGGTAGCTTTCTAGCTTGGGATGTATTTGGAGATGCTGTCCTAAGGAAGGGGATGGCAGCAGATGCTGCTTGCTGGAGTCTAGAAAAGTCAGTGTGTGCATCTGTGTGTGCATATGGGTGTGCACCTGTAAAAGTGGCTTCGGACCTCACACATGACAGCATGGTGTACCTAGCGCTTCTTCTCAACTCTTTCCTTCCTGCTTCTGGACATTCATGCAGTCCCTTTGTTTGTTACATGAACTGAATTGCCTCTTTTGGAGGCCTGCCACGGCAATCAAGAATAGCCCCAGTGACTAAGCTAGCACACCTTGCCCCATGTGATAAATGACTAGACACTTAATCTTGGTGCCACAAGCATTGCTGTTACCCAGCATACTAGGCAGCTTCTGACACTGGCACAACTTGGCTCGGAGAAGCATGCTAGCTCAAAGGTAGCTCAGTGGTGGAATGGCAAGCTGCTTACCTAGCAGTGTGTACACAGCTCTGAGCTGAAGCCCTGGAACCAAGGGAGAAAAGTGCTAGTTATGATTATTAACTAGAAGAATTATCACTATTATCAAATAATAAAATCAGTAAATGTGCAGAATCCTTTAATAAACCAGTAGATGAAGTCTGAGTATACATTTATCAGTATCCCAAAGGGATTGGTACTCTGACGGTCTGTACTGGAATCAAAGTTGATCAAGCTGCTTAGATACCAGGAGGTTAACACTGATATGGGACTCCTAAAATCACCTTATCATCATGCCTTTCTACTCTAGTTAATGGATGTTATGTGTAGTGGTAACTGAAATATTTTGAAAAACTGTGAAGCTTGTTATAAATGGATTTATCATCTTCATTGGTAAATATTTTCATTTTTAGGGGACAGTACCTATTCAAAAACAAGCCTCCTGATGAGAACGCTCCTCCCAACTCCTTTTATAGAGCACTTTATCCTAAAATTATACAAGATATTGAGGTAAGAATCTGTATTTCTGGATATTTTCTGAGTGTTAGGGGATCATTAATATGCTTAACTTACAAGTATTATTACAGGAACCCCATTAAGGTTTTCAGTGGGGGTTAAAAATCAGTGTCTTTACTAATGAGTAAGGTTGGTAAAGTCCAGAAGAGTCCCAAGTCAATATTTGTTCAGCTTCAGAATCTTCGTTTACTGATAGATGACAGTGCAAGAGGGGATTTCCACCTTCCTCAAACACCAGGAAGACATTGAACTCCTAAGCTGATGAGCCTCCTTGGAAAGTTGTCAGTAGGCATTGGATGCCACATGTCTGAGAACAGCACCAACTGTCGGTGTTTGTGTCCCATAGTGCAGGGGTTCTCAACCTTCCTAATGCAGAGACCCTTTAATACAGTTCCTTGTGTTGTGGTGACCCCCAGACACCAAGATTATTTTCATTGTTACTTCACAACTGTAATTTTGCTGCTGTTATGAATTGTAATGTAAATATTCTTGTTTTCCAGTGGTCTTAGGAAACCCCTGTGAAATGGTGGTGCAGGTCACACCCCACATGCTGAGAACCACTGCCATGGCGTGACAGTGGGTCATTGGTTTGAACTCTTTCCTAATTAACCACTTCTTTGAATCCCCCTTTTTAGACAATAGAATCAAATTGGAGATGTGGACGACATAGTTTACAGAGAATCCACTGCCGAAGTGAAACAAGCAAAGGAGTTTACTGTTTACAATATGATGACCAGAAAATAGTAAGCGGCCTTCGAGATAACACCATCAAGGTGAAGTCTCTTCCTTCAGTTGGAGAGCATAGTTGTGGGAATAAGGGTGGCTGTGTTCATAAAGCAATCTGAAGCATAAGTCCTAAGTGTTGTTTCTAGGAGGTGAGAATTTTTTAGATTAGTTCCAGTACCAAAGCCAAAATCATTTCCTTAAAGGGCAAGTGTCTGCTTCTTCCCAGATAATCATACAAATCGGTAGTTCCAAGGTTGGAATCTCTTCTAGAAGTGCACTGGTAGAAGCTGTTGTTATTTTGGCCTTCATAATTATAGGCTGCTCTTCCACCTTAATGGAAAGGATAAAGTTAGCATTAACCCTGAAGTCAGCGCATCCAGGCGCTGAGCCTAATGGAGGAAAAAATGCGGTCTCCCCCTCTCTAGCTTGGTGTTTGGGGATCACACATGTACAGAGCAACAAGTCTCCACAGCACCCCCATTATGACAGTGATCCTTTGCCCTCCTCCTAGATCTGGGATAAAAGCACATTGGAATGCAAGCGGATTCTCACAGGCCACACAGGCTCTGTCCTGTGTCTCCAGTATGATGAGAGAGTGATCATAACTGGCTCATCGGATTCCACTGTCAGGTAGGAAGCGTCAGACTCTGAAACCATCCACTTTTCATCACAGGAATTTCCTTTTTTCATTGTTACTTTACGTGCATTGAGGCTTTACCTGTATGTGTGTCTGTGTAAGGATGTCAGATCTTGGAAATTGCTTCCGGTAGGTCACTTGTCACTCTAGAACCAGACACTTGATTTTGGAACTATTGGGTAGATTTCTGCTTTGGCATGTTTAAGAAGCTACACACAGATTTTAATTTGGAGAAGCACCTGTCACAGGAACTCTCCCTCTCTTTATGGGAAGGAAGGCTTGCATTCCTTTATGAAAGCACCTCACGGGAATGCAGGAAGGGAATGCACCTTCCTTTCAGGTGATTGTAACTGCAGTGCAGGCATGTATGAGCTCTTTCAAGTGCATACAGGTGATCAGGGCTCACTCCTTGCCAGCCCCTCCCCTGCTGTCCCCACAGTGTTTAATTGTGAGTTTCACTCAGGGAGGGGTCCTCAGTTTCCAGAGGCGCTGGTGATTTGATGACACAGCCGTTATGCTGCTGGAGTCCAGTGCAGCTTGAGTTCAGGGCACCAGCATCACTGCTGGAAACCTTCTAGGAATTTCACCTTAAGCTAAAGGATTTAGCAAATGTGATACATCAAAAGTAACTTTAAAAAAAAAAAAACTGGAATAAAAGGCAGTTAACTGCATTGTTAAATCCTCTAAAGTTATCCTCTGTAAATAGGAAAAGCTGCTCCTTTGACTTCTAGGCATAGCAGACCCGGTCCATATGGCTGTTGACAATTAACTTTTATCCGTGCTGTGGAGTACCTCACAGGCGCTGGAGCATTGTAGATGCTCATATCATTTATAGGATGGGGAGAGACCGTGTTTTGTTTGTTTTGGCGGTGTTGGGGTTGAACCTGGAGCTTAGCCTGCTAAGTCGCACTCTACCTTTCAGCAACACTGCAGCACAAGAAATAGCTTTCCAAAAGGAGAGTTAAGCTGGAAAGGGGGAATAAAATGTTTTAAAAACAAAAATCAATATGCAAAAATAGAATAATCAAGGTAATTTCTGTCTTGATTATGGAAGAGGGTGGACTCTTCTTGACCTCCTGTCCTGAAAAGCACAGAAATGGAGCCTTGAACTTAGTGTCTGTGTAACTCTGACCCCTGGGAACATTCAGGGAAGTCAAGCTCCAGCCCCCATGACTAAGTCTGTGGCAGAACATCTTGGCCCACGGTTCCTGGGGGCAGCCACTGGGACAGATCCTACTGCTATTCTTTTATTTTTTAATTTTTTTTTATTAATTATTTGGGAATCTCACATCATAGACTCTGATCACACTCACCTCCCAGTCTTCCCCTGCCTCCCCCTGACCTCCCCCCCCAAAAAAATGTTCATTTTGTATTGTCTACATATTCAGTGGAGCATGGTCAAGTTCCTAGTGGCCAGCCCACCAGGGAGGGTGAGTCTCTCTCTCTCCACCTGCATCTGTGCCAGAAGCCATCAGCTGAGGAGAGCCACACAGTGACCAAAGCAGGGCAGAGCTAGCACTCCCATGCCCACAGACATTAACATGGCTTTGGGCTGCAGCCCCAGCCACAGGCATCCACATGGGCTTTGGTGGTAACACGGGCACAGACATCAACACAATTCTTGGCCATATCAGAACCACTGACCCACTCCAGGCTCTCCCTATTGCTATTCTTTATCTTGGTTTACATGTGTGTTCTTAATTGAATGTCAATAATAGAATAATAGAACTATATTATAATAATATGACATTCCATGCCACATTATCAGGTGATTAGTGACTGCTTCCTCATCCCCGAGCACTATAGCTTGGCCAGATTTCCCTTCTTAAGCTTTTACCCAGGAAGCACCCACTTCCTCCCTGTCCTCTTTGCCTATGCTGCTTCCTCGTGGTCCATCCATACTCATCTTGGGGCAGCAAAGGAAGAGCACAACAGTTGCCATGAAGGTGGAAGGTGAGGGGCTGGAGAGGTGGCTCAGAGGTTAAGAGCACTGGCTGCTCTTCCAGAGGTCCTGAGTTCAATTCCCAGCAATCACATGGTGGCTCACAACCATCTGTAATGAGATGTGGTGCCCTCTTCTGGTGTGCAGGCATACATGCAAGCAGAGCACTGTATACATAATAAATTTAAAACAAAAAGTGGGGGTGAGCCAAGCGTGATGATGCACACCCTTAGTCTCCTCACTCAGGAGGCAGAGGCAGTTTGAGGCCAGCCTGGTCTACAGAGTGAGTTTCAGAACAGCCAGAACTACACAGAGAAACGCTGTTTGAAAAAGAAAGTGGGGGTGAGGTAGGGGTGGGGAGTGTCATTGATGATAAGCTCCATAGTTGAAACAGGCACTGCACTGTAGCCTAAGCACCATCTAACTCTCTGTTATCCGTTTCAGAGTATGGGATGTGAACGCAGGTGAGATGCTAAACACATTGATCCACCATTGTGAGGCTGTTCTGCACTTGCGTTTCAATAACGGCATGATGGTGACCTGCTCCAAAGATCGTTCCATTGCTGTATGGGATATGGCCTCCCCAACTGACATCACCCTAAGGAGGGTGCTGGTGGGACACCGAGCTGCCGTCAACGTTGTAGACTTTGATGACAAGTACATCGTTTCTGCATCTGGAGATAGAACCATAAAGGTAATGGGCCACTCTCAGTGTGTTCACAAGGTGCAGTAAGGAGCTGGTATAAAAGTATGATCAGGTACAACTATGTGCATATTGTACATTGTAGAATTGTAGAATATTGTAGAATAATGTAACTTATTGTAGAATAATGTAAAATTGAATTCAATTTTTATTTCTATAAACAAAGGTGATGGGCTGGAGATGTAACTTAGTGGCAATTATTTTGAGTGTGAGAAGAGCGGATCAAGTTTAATTTCAGAAAAAATATATACATACTGGAACTGAGAAAATGGCCAGGTGGATGACATCCTTGCCACACAAGGATTAGGACTTGAGTCAAATTCCTAGCAGCTTTATAAAAGTCAGATGTGGCAGCACACCTTTGTGATCTCAGTGCCAGGTGGGGGAGGTTGGCACAGCCCTGGTGCTTGCTGGCCAGCCAAGCAAGCTTTGTGTCTACAGACCCTATGTCCGAGAACAAGGTGGAGGGCTGGAGCGGTGGCTTGGTGTCTTAAGACAGTGTGCTGCTTTTGCAGAGGACCCAGGTTTAGTTGTCAGCATGCAAATACTGGCTCAAAACCTCAGTTCCAGGGGACCTGACACTGTCTTCAGGCCTCTGTGGGTTCCTGCACATACGTGGTACACACAAACTCAAGCAGGCACACATACTCATACAAATAATAAATGTGTCTCTAAAAACAAATCAGGTGCAATGGAGCTAAGGAGTGTGCACACACGGCACGAAGAGGAGACCAGTTCCCTAAGTAAATCATGCGACAGCAGCCAGCTTCCCGTTAGTCCCATGTTAGTTACTATGAACTAAACTTTTTGGCTCTTACTTTGCACTCTGTTTGGTTGAGACATTGGCATCCTCTGATGACTCACCAGTTTTCTGCTTACCCAGTACTTTACTTTACTGGTAGATGTGTGCCAGCCAACTGCTCAATTGTCGTTTCTCTGTCTCAGGTATGGAACACGAGTACTTGTGAATTTGTAAGGACCCTAAATGGACACAAACGAGGCATCGCCTGTTTGCAGTACAGAGACAGGCTGGTGGTGAGTGGCTCATCTGACAATACTATCAGGTGAGCGGCAGGTGCCTTTCCCACATCACCTTCCAGTCACCATTTGTGCACAGACCTCAGGGCTTTTAACTGTCTTGTTTGTTCTCTGTGGTTCGTTGTTGTTGGGGTTTTCAAGACAGTTTCTCTGTGTAGCTCCAGCAATCCTGGAACTGGCCTCTAACTCAGAGATCCTCTGCCTCTGCTTCCTGTGTGCTGGGATTAAAGGCGTGCGCCACCATGGCCTGACTTTGTTGTTTTTTTTTAATTTTGATTTGTTTTGATGCTTCTCTCACATATCCCTCCTCTCCTCCCAGTTCCCCCACACGTATCCCTCCTCTCCCCTAGATCCAATCAAATAGGCTTCCTTTCTGTAGCTTCTTACAGGGCTACAGCTTGCCCCCCAGAGAGGCCGTGCATACAGAAGAGCCTTGTGTCATGTGTTTCCTTCCCTAATACTTTAATCACTGAATAGACCTATTTCAGAGGAACTGCTCAAATAAACCAAGACAGCTAATGAAGTTAAGGGCCCTTCTTTTAAATTCTTTTCCTGCAGTTGAAAAAATGCTAATAAATAAAGGCTGTTTCTCCATTTCACTATTGTTGAAAACATAAAGAAAAAGAAGAATAAGAGATTTGCTTCTCCACTAGAAATCATGACTTTTTGCTTCAGTACAGTGGTTGGCCAGAGAGCTGGCTGTGTTCAAATTTGAAGGTTGCACAAGTCTGTACTTTTTTGTATTTTTACCCTTACAAAGATGAATGACAGAGAGGTGGTTAGAATTTGGAAATTTTATCTGTCATCTCTCTCCTCTCCTTCAATGCCTGAGGGAAGGAAGAGCTAGAACTGATGCATCAACCCTGCCATCCCTAGAAATGAATGGAATCGGGCTAAAAGCAGTAAAACTATTGCAGCAGGCTTCCTGAGATTTGGCTTTGCCTTCCTATTGATGATAACTGCCCTGGACAGTGGTGACCTCAGGAAGCATTACTCTCTTGAACTGGTCATTTCCTTCCTAGGCAACTGTACATTGAATTCCTGCCTAGAAGAACCTGGTTTCAGAGTTGTATGAAGCATTGGGTTTTGAAAACACTCACAGCATTTGAACTTAAATCACACAGTTTCTGCCCAAATTGTATGACAGATAAGAAATAAGTTATATTGAAAGTAACATACTTTTATATGAGTGAAACTTTAAAATATATTTTTAGTTTATATGCATGACTGTGTGGCGTTATGTGTATGTATTTGCACCACATGTGTGCCTAAGGTCTGAGTTGGTCAGAAGAGTGTGTTGGATCCTCTGGAGCAGGAGTTAAGGAAGGTTATGAATACCATATAGGCGCTAGAAATTACAGCTCTTAACCACTCAGCCATTTTTCCAGCCCCCTTGTGAATTTTTTTTTAATTTTATTTTGTTTTGTTTTGTTTTTCAAAACAGGATTTCTCTGTAGCTTTGGAGCCTGTCCTGGCACTCACTTTGTAGCCTAGGCTGGCCTCGAACTCACAGAGGTCCACCTGTCTCTGTCTCCCGAGTGCTGGGATTAAAGGCGTGCGCCACCACCATCCAGCCCCTTTGTGAATTTTTAAAGGATGTGTGAAATACATGGTAATATACAAGGCTTGGAAGTGAATCCATGAAATTTCACTTGACTCCATTTTCTCTTTCAGACTGTGGGACATAGAATGCGGTGCGTGTTTACGTGTGTTAGAAGGCCATGAGGAATTGGTGCGCTGTATTCGATTTGATAACAAAAGGATAGTGAGTGGGGCCTATGATGGGTGAGTTCACTAACAACATTACAAAACAAACAAATCTAAGAGCTCAGCTTGTAGCTCACAAGTAGAGTGTGTGCTTAGCATGTGCAAGGTGGGCTCAGTCCCAGCGGCCTCCTTCTTCCCCAGTGTCCACATCTTCATCCTTCCTAGCTCATGATGCTAAACATAACCCTTTTTGGTCTCTAAAAGTTTACATACACTATTGCTTAATTGGTGGGCACCTCTCTTTTGCTTACTGTTTGCTAAAATATTCCTCCTAGTCATTTAATTGTATTTATATTATTATTATTTTGGCTATTAGATTATATATTTGTCTGGGTTGCCCTAAAATAAAAAACCAGACAAATCCACCAGAACAGACCAAGCATGTAAAGTGGGTATTGTAGGAGGGAATGTGAGAACCAGGCCCCTGGACTCAAAAGTCATCTGGCTTCTGTGCGTGCTCTCACTACCCGTATTTATTGCCCTGTCTTTTTGCTCTTCTTCCTTGTGTTCCCTTAAGTTTGCTTTTAACTAAGACTTTTGTCCCCTTTTTGATCTTTAGAAAAATTAAAGTGTGGGATCTCATGGCTGCTTTGGACCCCCGTGCTCCTGCGGGGACTCTCTGTCTACGGACGCTTGTGGTAAGAGCTTTATTGTTAAAGGAGCTGAAGAGCAGGTAGGGGAAGAAATTAAATGTTAATGTGCTGTAGAATATAGATCTGGATTTTATAGTTAGACTCTCACAAAACCTACTAAGTGGAAAAGCAACCAATACATGACAATAAAATATGTTTATATAGTGCCTTTCATCCAAAAGTACTTTAGAGACTGTGTATGGAGAGGATGGTGGCAGCTGCCTAACAGCTGCATGCAGGAAGTGGGAAGAATTCTGTATCCACCAGAAGCAGCAGGAGGCGCTGAGGGAGAGAGAATATAATTCCTCAAATTGGAACCTGTCCAGAATCTAAGGACCTGAACCCTTCCCTGTACTTGCAAAAAGTGCCCTGGGACTTGCTGGCACCCTGGTCAGCTCCTTAGCTCTGCATCTTACTCACTAGGCAATGCCTCCAAGTGCCTCAAGCCCTGCCATCCCATCGTTACCCCTATCCACCCCATGCCTCAGCATTGTGACACCTGGGGAGAGAAGTGACTCATGTGGCCCTGGCTGGATTGAAATTCCACTCCTTCTGCCCCGTTTCCCTAGTGCTGGGATCACAGGCCTGTGTCTACCACAGGCTTGGGAGCATAAAATTCTTTGTCATGTTATAAGCCATAGGCTCAGATTGACAAATGCTTTAGTTAGATGTGTGTGGATCCAGAGTAAACAGAATCTTTTGAACAGCTCAGGGGAATGATGAAACATTAAAAGCCCAGTGTTCTGAGTTCCCAGTCAACACTTGAGAAGCCTCTGGAGGAAAGGAATGCTTTGTCTCGGGTTTAAAACTCTTTCTTAGGCTTGGTATGGTGGCGAATTCGTGTATCTGAGCATTCAGGGGCTGAGGCAGGAGAATTGCTGTGTCTTCCTGAGAGGTCTGTGCTGCAGATTGAGACCCTGTCTCTTAGACCCAAAACACTAAGATTGGATGCCTGCCTTCTTCACGCGTCTTTGCAGATGTGTGCTCCAGGTGTGCTCTCTGTGCACTGAGTGTTTCACGCGTCTTTGCAGATGTGTGCTCCAGGTGTGTGCTCTGTGCACTGTTTCACGCATCTTTGCAGATGTGTGCTCCAGTTGTGCGCTCTGTGCACTGAGTGTTTTGGCATGTGTCTGTAATCCCCACCTTAAAGATGAGACAAGAAGAAGTGATGGTGGTGCACACCTTTAATCCCAGCAAGCAGGCGGATCTCTGTGAGTTAAAGGCCAGCCTGGTCTATAGAGTGAGTGCCAAGATAGCGAGGGCTACACAGAGAAACCCTGTCTCAAAAGAAAAAAGAAAGAAAGAAGGAAGGAAGGAAGGAAGGAAGGAAGGAGAAGAGGTGAAAAGATTGAAAGTCTCTGACTATATAGAGAGACCCTGCCTTTAAAAAGAAAAAACAAACTTAATATTCAAACCACCACAGCCTGTGTTTGTTGTTTGAGTGAAATACTTTTATTTATGCGTTTGCCTTTTCCATCACCCTCCATCCCTTTGTACAAATCCAAGCTTTCACCTTGAAATATCATTTTCCTCTGCTTGAAGAAGTTAACACCAGTGTGGGGACACTGAACACTGGTGACAGTTACTTTCAAGTGTTGTTTGCCTGGAAAAGTCAGGTTTGCCATCACTTCTGCAGGGTGTCTTTGCTGGCTGAAGAATTCAGAGTTGACAGCTTCCAGTGTGCCCCCTGCTAAGATGTTTGATGGCACCTACTTCCTTGTTTTCTTGTGGCTGCTTTAAGATTTTGTTCTTGTCAGTGATTTTCAACAATTTAGTTATATCTCAGTATGGGCTTCTTAGTAATTTCTCTACTTGAGATTAAGAGAAATTATTAATCAGTCAAAAGCAAGACTGGACTAGCTATATGTTGTCTGTAAGATTCTACTTTAGGGGTTAGAGATATAGCTCAGCGGGTAGAATGATTACCTCATGTGCACAAACCTGGATTCAATCCATAGCACCACATAATCCAAGCGTAAATACTATCACTCAAAAGGTGGAGGCAAGAAGATGAGAAGTTCAGTCATTATCGTCATTTATACATGGAATTAAAAGCCAGCCTTAGCTATGTGAGACCTAGTCTAAAATCACAGTTTGGAAAGATGACTCAGCAGTTAAGGCACTTCCTGCTCTTCCAGAGGACCTGAGTTCAGTTCCTAACATCACATCAGGTGCCTCAAAACTACCTGTAATTCCAATTCCAGGGGATTTGATGCTTCTTCTGGCTTCCACGGGTACTACACTCACGCCCCATACACAGAGACACATGCATAATTAGATGAATAAATGAATGAATGAACATATTATAAATATAAAGGCAATTACAAATAAAAACTTAAAGCTGGTAAGGTGATGTATGCCTTTAATCCTAGCAGTTGGGAGGCTACAACAGGAGGATCATAAGTTTGTGGAGGCCAGCCTGGGCTACATAACAAGACCCTGCCTCAAAAATCCAAGGGCTGGAATTAGAAGAGTGTATTAGCATGCACAGAGCCCTGGGCTGAGTCAGTACCACCACTACCCCCAGAAAAAAAGAGGAGAGCCACGTGCCATGTGTTATGGACTGAAATCTGTCTTCCGGGAATTCCTGTGTTGAAGTTTCCATATCCAGTATCTCAGACTGTGGTTGTATTTGAAGACTGAGTCGAACTCACTGAGAAAGGCATTAGTCCTTAAAAGACAACAAGATGAGCTGGGCTGTGTGGCACAGGCCTTTAATCCCAGCACTTGAGGGGCAGAGGTAGGCGGATCTCAGTGAGTTCAAGGCCAGCCTGGTCTACAAAGTGAGTTCCAGCCAGGGATGTTACACAGAGAAACCCTGTCTCAAAAAACTAGAAAGAGAGGGGGGGAGAGAGAGAGAAAGGAAGGAAGGAAGGAAGGAAGGAAGGAAGGAAGGAGGAAAGGAAAAAGAGAAAGAAAGCAAAGAGAGAAAGAGAAGAGAAGAGAAGACAACAGGATGAGGATGCCCACAGATGGAAAAGCTTGTGAAGACATCCATCTATAACACAGGTTGGGGGGAGAGGCCTGAGAATTAAACCAATTCTGCCAATACCTCTAGACAGTGGGAGACACATCTCCATTTAAGCCACCCAGTATGTGGCACTACATTCTAAAAACTTTTTACAAACTATATGCCATGCTATTAGTAGTTTAGAGTAGATGCATTGATCTCATACAGAGCTAACTACATAGCAAGTAATATTGTCAGGATAGAAAGGTGTGTTGCATCATGATAAAGGGGCAGATGCACCAGGGAGATAGAGCAGCTCTTGGTGCATCTGTACGGACTGGATAGCACCAGGACATAGATGAGAGCAGTCCTCAGTGCACCTGCACCAGGACATAGATGAGAGCAGTCCTCAGTGCACCTGCACCAGGACATAGATGAGAGCAGTCCTCAGTGCAGCTGAACCAGAACATAGATGAGAGCAGTCCTCAGTGCACCTGCACCAGGACATAGATGAGAGCAGTCCTCAGTGCACCTGCACCAGGACATAGATGAGAGCCTGGTAGAAGTACAAGGAGAACCATGGACAAACATGGCGGGCAGCAAATTCAGGAAGAAGAGTTAAACTCCTCAGCACTGCCCTCAGCTGGAAGCAGCCATCTGCTACATAGAGAGTGCTTCTCCAACAGAAGCAGCCATTCATCCCCAGGCTCCTACGGCCTAATCGCCAAGATAGATTACATGGGGCCATAGGCATGCCTTAACAAATCTAGATATGGGCCAGCAAGATGGCTCAGCAAGGGGCTCACTTCCAACCTGACGTGAGTTTGATCCCTGGGACCCACACAGTAGACGGAGCGGACTGGCCTCCACACGTACCATGATACACGCATGCACACACATGTATACACACAAAGGAGCAAATGTAATGAAAAGCTCAGAGAAAGAAACATGCAGCCTGTCTCCTTATATATACCACAGTGAAATTAAAGTACAGAAATAAGTAATAGAAAGGTAATTGAGAAGTCCCAAAACATGTAGAGATGAGCCAGCCACCTAGCTATTCTAAATGAGACATAGGGCAGGGAAATACCTGCTTCCATCAAAAACATGAGGGCTGGAGGGCCTGGCACCCACATACACATCTGGTCTTCAGAGTGAGTTCCAGAACACCCAAGGCTGTACAAAGAAATCCTGTCTCAAAAAAAAAAATTTTTATTTGATTTGCTTTTGTTTTTGTTTTTTGTTTTTGTTTTTGTTTTTTTGTTATTGTTTTGTTTTTTTTTCCTTTTTCAGTACTGGAGATGGAAGCCCAGTGCCTCATGAACACACGTGTTCTAACTCCTAATCCCCATGTCTCCATCATCCAAGTGCTAGGGTCACAGGGATTAATCACCATGCTTGCCGGAGTGATTCAGAGCTTTTTTTTTTTTTTTTTTAATTGTAGTGCTAGGATTAAGTCCAAGGCTTTCATGAATGTGACGCAAATGCTCTTAGGAGCCTTGAAAGAATTCTTACATTAAAAAACAAACTCCACAAAATATGAGCAAATTGACTCCAATAATGCATAATAAAAGTTACACTAATAAAGATTGGTGGTTTCAAGTACAATATACAAGACTGATTGAACACTTGAAAATCAATGTATTCTTATGGTGCTAGGGCGCAAACCTAGGGCCTTTCCCATACTAGGCAAGTGCTCTACCACTGGAGCTATATCCCAGTCCTGTGTCCATGTCATCTGTCTCAACAACAGGTCAGTAAAAGCATTTGGCAAGGGGCTGGAGCACGGTCTACTCTTCTGGAGGATCCAGGTTCAATTCCCAGCACCTACATGACAGCTCACAACCATCTATCACTCTGGTTCCACAGGTCCAACATTCTCTTCTGGCCTCTCGGGTACCAGGCACACACATGGTACATATAAAACACCTATTCACATAAAACAAATTTAAAAAAAAAAAAGCATTTGTCAAAATCCAGTGCCCACTCATTAAAAAACTCTGAACAAGCTAGGAAAATGAAAAATACTTTTTCATAAAGAAAAGTATAAATTTAAACAATTAACTATCACTGTGAAGATTGAAGGTAACTTGCTCAACTTCATAAAGAAAAGTATAAATTTAAACAATTAACTATCACTGTGAAGATTAAGGTTTAAAAGCTTGGCAATGTCACGTGATGGGGTGAGCAGCTGGAACTCATGACTAGTAGCAGTGTCTGGTCCAGCTTTAATAGCCCTTCTTCCAGGTGTCTGTGGAAGCCAGGCGTATTCCACTTCCATAGCCCCACAGTTCTGCTTCTTATCAAAAGCATGCAGGCTGGAAAGATGGCTCAGCAGTTAAGGGCACTGGCTGCTCTTGCAACTCACAACTGTCTGTAATTCCAGTTCCAGGAGATCTGACACCCTCTTCTCACCTCTGGGAGCACTAGGCAAACACTTGGTACACAGACATACATGCAGGCAAAACACATAAAGTAATAAATTTTTATAACACATGTTGTGACTTTCTTTGTTGTTTTTTGTTTTGGTTTTTTTTTTTTTTTTTTTTTTTTTGAGACAAGATCTGGAAATGTAGTTCGGACTGGCCTCAAACTGGTGATCCTCTGTCACTGTCTTCCTAGTGCTGTAATCTCGAATGTATACCATCACCACTCAGCAGCTTTAGTTTTCTGTTTGTTTGTTCTTTCGGTGTTTTTGACATAGGGTCTCTTTCCAGCCCTGGCTGACCTGGAGCTTACTATGTAGACCAGACTGACCTCAAACTCAAAGAGATCTGCCTGCCTCCACCTCTCAAATGAAAGCAGCTTTGTTTTAATAATATCGAAAAACTATAGGCAGCCCATATGTCCCCCAACAGGAGAATAACTATAGTATATTCATAAAGTGGAATATTAGCCACTAATTTTTAAAGGAATGAAATAACTTTTTCCATGTAGTGACAGAAAAACAGTTACAATGTAAAAGCCGGGTGATGGCACACGCCTTTAGTCCCAGCACTGGGGAGGCAGGGGCAAGTGGATCTCTGAGTTTGAGGCCAGCCTGGTCTATAGAGTGAGTTCTAGGGACAGCCAGGTCAGTTACACAGAGAAACCCTGTCTTAAAAACAGACAAACAGAAAATGTTGAGTAAAATATAAGCTGGCACAAAAAATCTATACTGTGTGTGTATGTGTTTATATGAAGTTCAAGGGTAGATAAAAGTCAGTGATAGTATTGGCGTGCAGGTGAGACTGACTAGTAACAGTGTTGGAAGTAGGAAGTCAGGAGCAGCCCATGCCTGCTGTAGGCATGCTTACCACTCTGGTTGCTACAACAGGCTCCTGAGCTCATGACAGCCAACCATTAGAATTTTACAAGTTGTTGACCGAATGTGAGTAGCTTCAAGTTAATCATAGTAGGTCATTGTGCATCATGAAAACCCGTAAATGGTTTTTCAAATTGAAGTTTCTTTTTTAAGATATTTTTTATGTCCATGCATTTATTTGTATAGTACAATGCCCTCAGAGGTCAGACGATGTCAAATCCCTCTGGAACTCTAGGTATAGATAGTTGTCCGCCTCCATGTGGGTGCTGGGAATTGAACATGGGTCCTCTAGAAGAGCAGTCAGTGCTTTTAACTGTTGAGCCATCTCTCCAGCTTCCAGAAGTTTGGTTGGCGAACGTTGTACCAGCTTGCCATTTCTTACTGCTGATCACCCCTTGAGTTCTGATGGTCAAAGGAGCTTGCAGGGAGATAAAAAGACCTGGGGACACCAAGACCACTCTCCTGTAGTCTAATCCCAGTTGGTGGTGACAAGCCAGCATCTTCTTTGCCATTTACTTGTTTACTGTGTTCCTTCGGACAGTTACTCCCCAGTATTTGAGTTTTCCATCCTAAAGTTAGTGAAACTGCTTTCTGTCTGTTTGAAACGACACCTGGGCACACCATAGCCTTTCTGTAGGCCCCTCCTTCAGACATTGATGTTTTTGATTTTGAGTTCAAAGTCTTACTCTTTGTTTCTGCTTCTTTAGGAGCATTCTGGAAGAGTTTTCCGACTCCAGTTTGATGAATTCCAGATTGTCAGTAGTTCACATGATGACACAATCCTCATCTGGGACTTCCTAAATGATCCAGCTGCCCACGCTGAACCACCCCGCTCCCCTTCTCGGACATACACCTACATCTCCAGATAAATAACCCAACACTGACCTCATACTTGCCCGGGTATGAAAAGAGCTGTGTGTGTGGCACTGTGGTAGGAGATAGGATGTTGGCTGTGAGGTGCTGCTAGCTCCTAGGAGTGTCTCCTCCTCAGATTACCAAGCAGTATACAGCAGGAGGGCAGAATGGGACCACATGAGATGAGGCAGGGACTGGCCCCATGAGCACCACTTTGACTGGTAGAAGGTAGCCAGTTCCAATTTTAGAGGGTTCTAGAGTTCTTATTATGTAGTAGTACAATTTTTATGAAAGTAAAATGACATTTGAACCACTTGGAAAACCAATGGCCCATAAGCCTGTCGTCATATAGTTGTTAGATCAGGTACCTACAAGGGAGACCCTGTCAATCCAGCAACTCACCTGACACGTGTCTGGAAATGTCTCTAGCTAAAATGTGCCCCTGACAGCGCACAGCTCTGGCTTCCTGGTCTCACTGGGAACAGAAGGCAGCCTTTTGTCTCCACTTCTCTACTCCATCCACAGGAGATTAGCCGGTTGGTTGGTTTGTTCATCCCCAGCAATACCATGAAACTGGGTTCCTTCCCAAGTCTCTAGTACCTCTCTAAGGCAGGGCAAACCCTAAAATACCCAGGTGTTGTTTATGGTTGCATTTGCAGTTGGCATCCAGTGCCATCCCTGGTTCAAACATGTTGGGTTATTGAGTTCTAGGAATATCAGCAGCTTCGGGGACATTGTCTCTTGTGTACCTTTGTTTCTCACACTTCCCTTGGCTGCTAGAGCAGCCATGCCTCTCACTACACTCCTCTACCTCTGTCACTGTCTCTGCTATTGGAGAAGACAATTGCATCATCATTCCTCAGCTAAGTCACACTGGCTCTTGGGCCTTTAAATTCACAGACTGTCTGTCATACCCTGATGAGTACAGCGCCTGCCTCACAGGTCTGCATGGAGACAGTGTTGGGAAAGGTCTTAGTCCACACACATCATAAGCCCTTTGCGAAGGTCACCATGGATAGTGATCCTCTGATCACCATGTACCTTGTCTGCTCTTTTCATCAATCTTTGGTTTTCTTCCAATGTAATAGTATTTTGCTGTTGGGATGGTGGCTTCTGGGTATTGAGTGCCTGGCCTGGCTCATGCTAAACACATGCTTAACCATGGGAATGTGCTCGTAGCCCTCACTGTTTTTATTCTCCCTAACTTTATGTCTTTTCTCCTCTCACTGCGGAAAGAGACATCCCCTGAGAATCTGGCTCAGTCATTTTTAACTCCTCTAGGCTCTCTTCTTGGGCTATCTTATCTTTTCCCATGACTTTAGCTCTCACTTCAACATAGATGGCTGGCAATTTTTTATCTCCAGAATCACCCTCTGTCTTAATCTCCCAGCCACATGTCCAGCCACACCCACCTTGAAGGGACCAGGAGCACTTTCATTGTCTCCATGGACGGTTCCTTAAGCCAGACAGGCCCCAGACAGCTTCCTGCCTGTGCACCCTTCTTAACAGAGACACCACTGTGCTTCAGGACAGTCAAACAGGGCCCCCAGAGTCATTCCTGCCCCCTCTGGTATTCCAGGGAGCAGGGAAGCATGGCACTGTCCCAGCCATTATTCACTCTTAATCTTAGGACCCTGTATCCTGAGCACACCACTAAACCCTGTCCTTTGTGTAAGCCCCCAAGAAAACTGTGATAGAAGCACTGTGCAGGGAGCAGCTCTTGGGAAGGACCCCCAAGTCGTTCTCATTGACAGCCACACAAACCTTCTGTCTTAGAGCAAGTGGAAAGTACAGGGAAAGGGGCTAATGACTGCTGGCTGTGTTTCCACACAGGACTCGTTAATGTTGCAGTATTTAACATATCTGCCAAGACCAGGATGAACAACAATCACACTCCTACCCGGATTCCCCGGATGGATCAGCGAGGAGCAGGGCTTTGAGACTCCTGTTGGGACAGTCGGTCAGCAGCTGACCAGGACGGTCTGCTCGGCACAGCCGGCTGCTTCAGTGCTGCTATCAGAAGATGTCTTTATCTTGTGTGAATGATTGGAACTTTTAAGCCTCCCCTCCTGTTCCCTACCCCCTCCCTCTGCACCTGTTTCTCTCCCATTGGGTTCCAGACAAAGATGACTTATAAATATATTTAGTGTTTTGCCAGAATCTCTCTTGCTTTGCCATTAAGCAGAAGAACTAGCTTCCCCATCTGGCCTACTTCTAGGGGACAGGGGCTGCAACTTCCAGGCAGAGAATGCCTGGCCTCTCCCTGTTAACTGCAGGAGTAACTAGAGCCTGGCCAGAGCAGTCCAGGCCACTGCATGGAAGGAGACAGCTGCCTGCTTGCATACCCTTAGAAGAGAGGGACACACACTGGAAGATCTGCACCTGCTGCCTCCTCCCCTGTCTGGGTTTCTGTCCCTCTTCCCTCCTCCCCTACTCCATCTTCAACCTGAGAAGGTGTGTGCAATGTCCTCATCTAGCATGAGGTGGATCACCTAAAAAATGTGACACTTGGAAGAGTTTGAGTGTATTGTCATTTCCAGCCCAGGCTTTTGCTGCAAACGACCCCCAGGGCAGCAGTGGATTCATGAACATGACACTCATATTTGCAGCTTTCTCTCTCATCCTTCCCTGTGTCCAGGGGGAGGGACAGGAATGTCCTGGGCACCATCAGTGGTTGTGTCTGCTCTGGACTCAGCAGTCTCCTCGGTTCCATGTAGAGTGGAAAGGAGCCGCTGATTGCATTTCCTCTCATTAACAATTAGATGTGTAATAAAAAGCATTGTGCTTCATCTTAAATCACTGGCAAGGCTGGGCCTGCAGAAAGGCTTGGAATGGCCATCACCAGGCACCACTGCACTCTGTACCGTGGCTCCCATCTGTTTCCTTGACTGAGCCGGAAAGCACCCGGGCACCCATAACTGCCCAGACTGTGAGCACAGCAGCTTAAGAGATGGCCGGGAGAAAAGCAGCCGGCCTGTCAGTCTAACGTCTCAGCCTTGCACTGCAGACCCTTCCTTCTGCTTCTCCCAAACCTAGTGTTTAATGTTTGCAGAAAGGCAAGGCTGCCACGGGGATCAGGGTGAATTGCGGCACACAGGGTTACTAGTAAGTGGGAACTGCCTTCTCTTCCTTTCCTTCCCCCTGCCTTATTTTGCTGTCCACTTTCCCCAGCCAGGAAACTGGCTGTCCGTGAAAACATAAGCGACTGGACTTCCTCAAGGGCGGGCAGGGCTAACCTGGCCTCATGGAAGGCAGCACTGGGCCTCTGCCAGCAGGTTCCAGATGCAGAGGTTCGTGGGCAAGCCTAGGAGCACTTGAACGGAGAACCAACTCACACCCCCCCCCAGCATGCTGGGCATGCCAAAGGGTGGTTTAGGCACACTTGGACCCGCGGCCATGGAACAGCCTCACTTTTCCCTTGGAAACCAAGCAGTCAGGCTCTCATTGCTGTTCCTAACCATGCATTTGAGTTTAAGAAAGCCAACTGAACCAGCTGCTATGAAAGTAGAAATGGGGGCCAGTTACAAGTGACCTACAGCCAGGCCACCTTCACTTCACCAGGAGAGGGAGAAGAAGGCATCTTCATTCTCTGGCTTGCAAGTTGCCCCTTGCCCAGTATGTCCTGAGTGAATGCTGAGTCAGGTCGCGTGTGTATGCTGTTTCTCCTTTCCCGACTACCACATGCTGCAGAGTCATCTGGTTTAGCCACTCTGAGCTCCTTGTCCGTTCTGTTGACTGTTAATAGTGAAGGACTTTGCTGAAAAACAAGTCAGATGTAAAGAGACCTAAGCTGCTTCAAGAAATGGTCTAGTGGCCTCGCCTTGACCAGCCCTTCAGTTATGGGCTGCTGAGAAAGTAGGTGCAGGAGAGCCCCTGCCTGTGTCTGGAGGCCCTGCGGGGCTGGACGCCGGGGTTGGGGCGGTGTGTGTACTACTGCAGACAGGCGGTGCCAGGACTGCTCCCCTTCCCAAGGTTAGCCGAAGGTGTGCTGCTCTGAAGCCAGTTGGGAAGTGTGGCCACCCATTGTCCTTGGGCTCTGGTGGACCCTGCCCATTGAAGCCGTTAGCGCGGTTAAGCTTTTTCTCCAGGTTGTCCTCTCTACTGCTGCTGGAAATGGGAATGAAGTTAAGTGGTCTGAGAAACTTGAATCACATTTCTCAGCTCTGGGGGTCATTTACCAGTTCATTGTAGAAGAAACAATCAGGTAAGTAGAAGTTCATTTCCAGAGAAGGTAAACCCCACTTACCGTCTCTGCATGATTTCAGTGGGAATTGATTATCACCAATCCCCAACTGGGCGAGAATGAATGTAAAGTTTGACCTTTTTAAAAAGAAAAGAGAAACAAAGAACATCTCAACGCATTTAAAGGAATAGTAGGCAAGAAGCTGCAGGTGTCCTGTGGCTCTGAGTGTTCCCATGTTCGGTCGGTCGTCGGTCTCTCTCTCTCTCCCTCTCTCTCTCTCGCTCTCTCTCTCTCTCTCTCTCTCTCTCATCTGCTTTTCCAGTGTACAGCTCAAAAGGCCTCTCCTACAGAGAGCTGAGATTCTTCTTAGGCAGAGAAGCATGTGCACAGGGTACCCTGCTGGAGAATGTGACCTCAGTCACAGTGGTGATGTCTGGACAAGGCCAACGTGCCTTGCTGCACAAGTTTGTGTGTGCACACACTTACATGTCGGTGCTGCTGCTGGGAACATCCTTTCCCTTGAAATACATTTGGAAAGTGGATGTGAATTATGGATGGGAAGGAACCCTTTTACACTTGTCCCTTGGCTAAATTCTTTCTGATTTGTCCTAACTTTAGAGACAGAGACTGTCTGGAACTCTGTTGACAAGTAATAAAGTCTGGCCCTCATAGCTTGTTTTCGAACTGGAAATGACATTGAGACTCCTAAATCATTCTGTAAGAAAAAAACATTTATTTTTAGTGATCCAAAGCTGGGGAGAAGGCTGTCTTCCTGAGGCTGGAGATGATGTACTTGTTTAGCATTTGACTGAAGTGGAGAATACTGAAAATGATTAGGCCTTGGTAGTGTTGATTGTCTTAGCCTCTCCCTTTTGAGTTAGACAGTAATACCGTCTGGATCTGAGGCAGGCCCATCTGGATTAGTGCAGGCCTACAGGCTAGTCTCAAATGTATTCTAAACAGGTGGAATGAGGCATGCAGGTACCCAGTTCCTGTGGCTTCAGTCCGAGGAGTAGAGGTCAGTTTACTTGTAGCTTTGGTCGACTCCAGTCTCCATCCCCATTTGGTTAAACTCAGCAGTTTGAAGTCACCCAGAAACCTCCAGCAGGGTCTGTCCTAGGACTCACACACATGGGTGACCTCTGGCAGTGCAGAGCCTTGCACAGTGAGCACAATCGGTACCAGTGAGGCAGCCATCTCGGGAATAAAGCTGAGGAGAGAAAGCAAAGCAGCCAACTGTGGCTGCCTGCTTGCAGGTGGAATCGAAACCCCGGTGCTGACAGCCCTGTCTCAAAACCAAATAGTCCAGCGCTTGTGGTCTGAAATTCCGTGGAGGCAGTTGACTTCCCAAATATGTACTTTCCAACAGCTCAGCATCTGACTTAGTTTCTGAGTGTGGGGGTGGACAGAGAATGAGTGTGTCACCTTCCCTCCTTAGCCTTCCCCTTGGATGCTGAAGGAAAAGCCCAACAGGTTAGCCTTCTTGGTACCAAGGAAGCTAATACCTTCCCAAAGCAGTGATCCTTGAGCCCTGGCAAACTCACTGAGTGGACTCCAGTGGGGAACAGGCCTGGCAGCAAGTGTGAGCCAGAGTGTTTTTGGTTTTTGCTCTTTGTTTCCTAGATTCTCCAGTGCTGACTGCTTTAATTTTTGTGATTATGTTACAGTGATGTGTAGTCAATGTACCAATATGTTCACAAGCTAGGGCCATGGTAATAGTGTGTTTGGTTTTTTAACTGTTTGGGGGGGCGGGTAAATTACAAATACAAGATTAAAGTGAATTTTCTAAGTGTCTTCTGTCTTTGACCCAACATCATAAGAATGCCTGAGTTTTCAGTATTCAGAGCAAAGAGCTATATAGATTATTTCTTTTATGAGAAAACCAGACCAAGGGCCAGCTGTGGTGGCACACGCCATTAATTCCAACACTGAGGAGGCAGAGGCAAGTGGATCTCTTGAGTTCAAGGCCAGCCTGGTCTACTTGGTTCCAGGCCAGTCAGACCTATGTAATGAGACCCTGCATCAAAAAACAAAACCAAGGTCCAACCAACTTCTGTGCACGCTGTACTTGGGAAGAGGAGACAGGAGGTTCTTGAGTTTTGGGCTACATGGCAAGATCCTATCTAAAAGGTAAAGGAAGAAACAATCAGGACTGGTGTTGTAAAGAAACAGTTCCCACATGCAGGTCACTCTGTACTGGCTCATGTTGAAGCCACAGTGAGGTCTGACTTGTATGTTGCTCATCATTGTGAGGACCCCAGCTGGGCCTTGAATCTGAGCTTTCCTCCTGCTGTTGGCTGGAGGGCATTCCACTCATCACTCACAAGTTCACAAGCCTTCAGGAGCATTGCCAGAGAGGGTCACAAGCCACTTGAGGTGACAGTGCTGCTCCCAGGTGAGCCCTGCTTCTCCCTCCAGACTAATACACAGAAGTAAGCACAGATCGAAGCCCCCTGCCCTCCCCTCTGGTGACCCAAGCAGGACTCTCCTCAGAGCTGAGTCATCTTTGGATTCAAGGACTATAAGCTTATTGGTGTATTTAGTCCTTCCCTCTTCCCTCAGCTGTGGCCTCATTGTCTCTTAGCTGGGTAGTCACTGTGGTCCCTAAGGTGGCATTTGGGCAGTGGTCAATGCCACCAGCTTCCACTAAGAGCCTAGAGAATGGTAGTGTAAGCTCGTCTGGTCTTGTGCAGGTTTTACATGCTCACAACCTATCTCCCTTAATAGGCAGCACCCCCAGAGAGTTGCAAGGAGGGGGTGTCAGCAAAGACCCCTCTGTAGCTACCAGCAACTACTAGATAATGGACCAGTCTGACTCCTAAGCCCAGGACTAAGCCTAAGGCCATGGGCCTAGACTTCAAGTCCAGTGCCAGACCCTTATTCCTAGGTGAAGGAAGGTACATGGCCTGTCCAGACCACCCTCTGGCTAGCTGCCCTTCCTAAGGCTAGGCTGTGGTCCCTCTTCCTTTTAAACCTAGGGCTGGGCAGCCATCAGCAATGACTAAGAAGAGATTTTGCTTCTTCCTGATTGGCTCTTGCCAATTAAGAGCATTTTATTAGGCTGCTAATTAAAGGCACTTCGTTAGCAGCAGGAGAGGCCGGGTGGGTGCCTGGTGAGATGGAGCCGAAGCCAGGAGAAATTGTTTTCCTCCCCCATGGAAGCAGAGCCTCTCCGAGCCCTGTCAGTGCCCCAACCTCTCCTGCTGCGCCTACCATGCCCCTTGCTTTCAATTAGTGGCTCTGAGGGGAGTGGTGTCATTACCAAGCCTAGGTCCGGAGCCCCCACCACTACCTCAGACCACAGGAGGCCCTGGGAAACTGTCCAGGT